CCTTTTCTCCCCCCCCCCCCCCGCCACACCCCTCCCCTTCCACCACACCGGACTTACCACCTGGAGGTACCTATATTGGAAATCAGATCAGTATCGGGCAATATGCCTCCTTAAATATCAGGTATCGGCCCCAAAAATCTCTATCAGTGCACCCCTAATTTTATGTGGGGCTTATTGTATGTTTTAAGAGGTAAATTAGATGAGTATAACAACATCCTTTGTGTGTTGCATTGAATAATCTGTATAATACTAGTTGTGGTATATGCTGCACTCATCTCATATGCCAGATGAATGGTGCAGTGCCAGCCTGTGGGCTGGACTCCAGGTGTGAAGCATCATGTCACCTGAATTTCAGCAGGGCTGGAATTTGGTGGTGGCTAATCCCTTAAAGCTACAGCTTCGTTTTTGGCGCTGTTGGCCAGATGACATGGGTCCACAATCTGGATCTGGCTTGTTGGATTCTTCACGGGTCCAGAAATTTGGCAGCAGGATGTGCAGAGGCTGGGTTAATTGCTGTGGCTCTACAAGCCTTTGCAATTAATATGGCTGCTCGCCACACTGCCAAATTTCTGGACCCATGGGGAGTCCCACAGGCTGGATGATGTGGCTCTGCCGGTGGCGTCTTACTGGCTAGGTTATCTTGATTCCCCCATGAAAGAGTCCAGTCTGGTTCAATTTAATTTTCTGATTTACAAGCTCTTTTCCTAATCTGTTTTCAGCAAAATTGTGATAAAACTCCTTTTTAGCATTCTGTATTTGAGTCCAGTGTTTGGATTATATGGTCCAAACTAATTTACCAGTACAAAACAAGAAAAATTTCTTCTTGGGAGATGACCTCATGACATATGGTTTAGGCCCTAAGATCTTTGTATTGTCAGCATTCTAGATTTCTTTCTATGTACTTGATCTCTCAGTGTCCAGCAAAGATTTCTTTTTTTATTATTAGTGTGAGTAGGAAAAGGATGCTTGGGGGTAACAGTGGTACTTGCATAAGCTGCTCCAACAACTCAGGGTAATTAAAGCAAGATAACTGGATGCCTCTTAATGTGGAGTTTGAACAAATGTAACCTTTCCTTAGAAATCAAATACTTGGTTTTATTTCCACAGCAGTTCAAATGCTTCACCCTCAGAAGGTGTCCCCCTTCCAGGAAGTTATGGGTGTACCCCTCACTCACTTCCCAAATTTCAGCATCCTTCTCATGAACTTTTAAAGGAAAATGGCTTTACACAACAAATCTACCACAAATACCGTCGAAGGTGTCTGATGGGTAAGATGCTAGATATATCCATAAAGTTTTAGTTGGCAGAAATAAGTTGTTATATAATACTACAGGTTTTTTTCTACACTCTTTTTCTTTTGCATGATCTCCTGAAAAAAGCAGATTACCATAATTATTTGGTACCTACTGTAACCTTACCCTGAAATGTATGTCATTTTTTATCTTGGATACATTTTGGGACTATTTGCTTTTCATATAACTTGGAGAAAACCTCTGAGAGAGAAATTAAATTCTTCAGTGATTCTCAGCCAGGGTGCCTTGTGATCTGTGCTGTGTATTGCTAATCAGGGCCGTATGAAACACCATTGTTTCGTTTCGATGTCCATTTCACCGTTTTGAAGGGGCAGAGTTTCATTAAAACTGTTTTGCCGTTTTGCCCATAGGCTATAATGGGGAATCATGAAAATGCCTAAAATATTGTCATTTCATGCCTGATATGGATGATAATTGCAGGGATGGTAGCCCCTTCTGAGGGCATGAAGCCTGCCAAGTTTCAAGGAGAAAGGTGCAGAGGTTTCTGGGAAACTGCACGTCAAACTGTTCAAAGCAAAATTTGTCACACTTGGCGGCAGCAGCAGCAGCTTCCTCTCACCTGGCACACTGATCTAGGGGCCTGCACCCCCAGGAGGGCTGCCGGGCTATGCTGGATTCCTTCCATGGGTGTGGGCCCCCAGATCTGCACTGGAGGGCAGGAGGCTGCTGCCGCCACCTGGGACGAGTACTGGCCGCAGCCCATGCCCAGCGCTGGGGAAAACTGATGCTGCCGTTGGCCCCAGGTAGCAGCAGCAGCCTCCTGTTATCCAGTGTGCAGATCTGGGGGCCCACACTCCCAGGGAGGAATCTGGCAGCACTGGGAGGGGAGGTTGAGCTCTGTGGGGCTGGTGGAGCCTGTTTTGAGTGAAGCCTGGAGGCAGGGAGAGCCAGGGCTGCGCTCTGCCTCCCGCCGCTAGGCTGAGCTTCATGGGGCTGCAGAGCTGCTCAGAGCGCAGCCCTGGCTCTCCCCTGCCTCCTGCCTGCTGCTTCGAAACTTGACACGTTCTGAAACTTTCAAAACATTTAGTGCCATCATTTAGTTTTGAAGCTGTTTTGAAGCTTTTTGTTTTGTTTAGATTTTGCTGTTTCAAGCTAGAAATGCGTTGAAACAACTTCAAAACGAAACACTTGGTGAAATTTCACACAGCCTTATTGGCAATCAGTATTGCAGGATTCACAAGATAAACCCAGATTTACAAGATAAACCCAGCTTTCTGGACTCGTGAAGAGGCCAACAAGCCAGATCCAGATTGTGGACCCATGTCATCCTGCACAGCAAGCAAGATACACAAGATAAACCCAGAGCTTTCAAAAGGAGTCCATAATGTCAAAAACATACTGCCCTGTTGTGATCTGAGTTCTTTGCAAAAGAAAAATTGCTCCTTTATTTTTCTGTAGCCATTTAAAAAAAAAAAAAAAAAAAAGAAAACCTAAGAGCTGTCATTTTTCCCAAGACACGTACAAAGATTGAGAACCACTGGGATAATTGATGCGTATTTGCTGATTTCCTTTTTAAATTAATTGACAAGTTTCAGGAAAATCACCATTTATGCCTCTTATGGACTCGGCATTATTTTTTTCCATTTGTGTAAGTGGAAAATATTTGGTGAGATTTTTAGCTTTTGAATCTGGGTTTTTAAGGGCTCTGGCAGACATTACATTTCTAGCTTTCTTTAAACATTACATTTATAGTGCTCAGCTGAATGCAAGGATAGCAGCCAGGGTTGGGGACGCAGTTTCTTCCCCTCATCCACTCTGCTAGATCCCTGGGTCCCAGAACCGGTAGCCCAGTGCCCAATCCCAAGAGGCAGCACCAGGTCCCATGTCCAATACTGGTGCTGCCCCCTTTCCAATCGCCAGAGGCAGCCCATGACCTTTAAGGATCCAGGTGCTGGGAACCTGGCATGGGGGACTTAGGTCACTTATGCCAGGCTCCCTGCACCAGTTGTTGCATGAGTGGGACCTTAGGAATTTTATTTCAGATCCCAAAAATGGTGTGTCCTTCTATTTGCATATGGCCCTGTAAGATGATGTGGATTTTGGCATGAGGCATAACATTCCTCAGATCCCAATACCTGATAATATTAATGTTTGCCAGGGGCCCCAGTTACTATTTTCGAACAGCATTGATCTTGTTTCAGGTAGGCACCCGAGAGGAAGTATTTAATGGATTTTTATTTTTAGGTGAATTAAGAAAATTGGAATAGACTCAGAATGATTTGTAATACTTTTTCTAAAATTTTAAATTCACACTGAGCTTTTACTGTGTATTGCACAAATACTGAATTAAAACGTTGAGTTGTTTTGTCACTGACTTTATATTTATTTTTTCTTTAGAAAGGAAACGTTTGGGAATTGGCCAGTCCCAAGAAATGAACACACTCTTTCGTTTCTGGTCCTTTTTTCTCAGAGATCACTTTAACAAGAAAATGTATGAGGAATTCAGACAGCTTGCTCTAGATGATGCAAAAGAGCACTACAGGTAATACATTTGTTCCATAAGTTAGGATTAATTTTTGTTTCTACCTTCCATTTAAAATGTCCAGTTCATGTGTGTAACTGAAAGAACCTGACATTTTTTGTAATGGTATCAGTTGATGCTTTCAAAATATTGGTTTGTGTACTTCACTTTAACACCAGGTGCTATTTTAATGTACCCAACAAGAATGGAGAGAAAATGCGGTTAGTCAGATAGGAGCTGGTGATTGTTTCCACATACAACATTAGACATACAGTATCCTTGGATCTCTAATTTATAGTTCATGCTAAACTATTATATTAATTTTTGCCTCTGTTAATGTAACCCCATATTTATTTGTGGCAATAAGATATTATTTCTGTAAGTCAGAATGTTTCTACCTCAATTAAAATTAGGGGAAATGTTTCTTGTTCTGCAACTTGACCACAAAGAAAATTGCCACTTCTTCTTTTTTTTTTTTTTTAACTTGGCCCCAAAAAAAAATGCCCCCTCTTTTTTTTTTTTTTCTAAATATCCCCTGTTTTAGAAAAATGGTCTTTCAGAATTAAAATGTTGATCATCATCTCTTTATTTCCATAATCAAATCAGGAAGCATTGATATATTTAAGTCCTGACATACTGAGACTGAATGGACATTTTGTCAGGAATGCATAGTACAGTTCAGCGAAAGGAATGCAAATGTGGCTCTAATATACTTTTGTATTCATATTTCTGATCCGTCTGTAGGCTGGTGTGATTGTCACTATGTAAATTAGAACACCAGAAGGGTTGCATTAAGCATACTAGAAGCCAGCAGTCCCAGGTGATGATGTGGCAGCTGGGTATCAACAGTTAGGAGATTGCCTCAGCCATGCCCTTTTACCTAGTTAGTCTATTACTATACCTGTTTCAAAGCATATGGTGTGACTTGATCTGAAAAAGATCAAAGGTTTCTTCATTAAATGTATGCAGCTTCACAAACTCCTGCAGTGTCTTACAAGCTACAAACCCGTAAACAAGAGTGAAATTATTTAGGTACATACCTCTGAAGGGAATATGGATTTGAGCCAAAGATATTTTTCAGGGGGGCATTCATCCCACAGCAGTTTTGCTGGATGGAGCTCTGAGAGCTCTATTAATGGACCAGACCTCATTTTCCTAGGTACTGTACATAGGCTGGGTATCAAGGGGCTTTGCTGTAACAGATGCATGTTCAAGATCCTTGGGAGGCGTGGGGGCAGGAAGTCTCCCAGCAGTAAAGGACTACAGAGAAGCTGAAGGCTTTGCTTAGCTTTTACAGGTTCCAGCTGACACTTTCAAAGCAAGTGACTGACTTGCTAAGAGCGTGGATTATTCCACAAAGTGGTTGTCTCAAACATGGAGAAGAATCTTTAAAGGATAATGTCAGCTCTTGGCATCTTGTATATTCCCTACGTTCCTTTACTTCAAAGTTAAAACAATCAATCCTGAATTATGTAAGGAAAACAACAATCTTCTGCGTCGTCCTTTTATGTATGCACAGTTGTGGAGACTGAGATACCATCTCAGACCCATTGTGAACAAAGTTCTTTTCAAAAGAACATTCTTTTTAGCTCTTGAATATTTGTATCATCTAGGAAAAACTTAAAATAAGTTAATGAAAAGTGTTGGGAAAGAAATGATCAGATGGATGCCAACTAATTAAACTATAGTATTTTAGTTTTTCTTAAAGTGTAAGAAGAACAGAACATGTTGTGAATCCTTTGAGAAATATAATGTGCGTTTTAACATAGATTTCTTGAAATCGCTGTTCTCTGTTCACAGGTATGGATTAGAGTGTTTGTTCAGATTTTACAGCTATGGTCTGGAAAAAAAATTCAGGCAAGAGATTTTCAAGGATTTTCAAGAAGAAACAAAAAAGGACTATGAATCTGGTAATTCCCAGTTTGTATGAGGTGTTTAGGATATGGACAATAGTGTTAAATTTACCCAGTTAGCTATTTTTTCTTTTAAAACGTTGAAAAACTGGCAACAATTCTCTTTTTTTATGTTGTCAGGTCAGCTGTATGGCCTAGAAAAGTTTTGGGCTTATCTAAAATACTCTCAATATAAGACTCCGCCAATTGACCCCAAATTGCAAGAATACCTCAGTAACTTTAAGAGATTGGAGGACTTCAGAGTTGATGTAAGTTTTACATTTTGCTTAGCAGATTACTCTACTCTATATAAGTGTATTATTTCTAAAGGATTCAATTATTAGGCTGCTTTAGCACCATGCCTCAGGTTTTGTGGATATAATATTTTGTGAGTCCTAAAATCAACAGACAGTTAACCAAATGTGTTTTAAAATTCAAATGGTTTTATATTTATTTTTAAATATTGCTTTACCAAGGTCCTAGGAGAATGCTAAAGCATGGAAGCCATAATGTGAAAGAAAACAATAATGAAAGATGAATCCGTTTTCCTTTCTCAGTTGAATGAATATTAATAACAATAAATACATTTGCTAAACAGTGAAAATTTTCTAATTTAGGTTTCTAACAAACATGGATGACAGCTTTTTAAACTACCTGTGTAACTTCGATTATTGTTTTGATTTTAGTGAAGATAATTCCTAAACCCGTAGAAATAGGAATTCAGTAAATAATGAATGTCTAGTGAATTTCACTGACAGCCTTTGCACTTTCTGACTTTTATTTTCTGCCCATTAAAATGTGAAATGGGCTGAATATGAAGTTAAACCATACTGTTTTATGTAGAAGTTAGTTTCCATAAATGACTAGGCATTTAAAGCCTTGTTTTGGGAAGCCACTTAGGCTAAGTAAAACATTCAGTCACCCGTTGCAGGCTGGAAGTTTTGTTCATGACCCTTTCATATATTGTTGCGACCCGCTTTTGGGTTGCAAACCACAGGTTAAGAAATGCTGATCTAGTTCTGCTCAAAGCAAAACCATCCCCAGCTAGATCATTCCAGCCAGGGCTTTGTTGAGCTGGGTCTTAAAAATCTCCAAGATGGAGAGTCTACCACCTCTCTAGGTAACCCATTCCAGTGCTTCACCACCCTCCTAGTGAGAGAGTTTTTCCTAATAACCAACCTACACTTTCCTTGCTACAACTTGAGACCGTTGCTCCTTGCTCTGTCATCTGTCACTACTGAGAACAGCCTAGCTCCATCCTCTTTGGAACCACCCTTCAGTAGTTAAAGGCTGCTATCAAATCCCCTCCCCCGCCCCCGTTGTCTTTTCTGCAGACTAAATAAGCCCAGCTCCCTCAGCCTCTCCTCAAAAGTCATGTGCCCCAGTCTCCTAACAGTAATAATTTTGTCTACTTGTTTTTAGCCTCCTATCAGTGAAGAATCTGGAAGAAAAAGACCTCCTAATGTAATTGGTGAGGAGACTGGTCATTCTAGACACCAGTCTAATTCCTCTACTAAGACGCTGCTTGCTGCTAGACCTTCAGCTGCCAATCAATCTCAGGTCCCAGGAAACTTTTCCAGTAGGAATACTCTACAGGAGTCTAGTGACAACGTAGGCCACAACAGTGCTACCACAAAATCAATAAATGGTGACATGCCTGAGCAATAGACGTAAGATGTGCTTGTGCCCTTGAGATCATCCTTTACATCAGTGTTTAAGTATAGCATCTTCAGGGGAGCTGTTACAATGCGTGATTAAAAACAAAAGTATAGGAAGACAAAGGATTGCATTTTTCTCTTTCACAAGATTAAGTTTGAAATATTTTCCCTAAGCGAGTAGTTCTTTGTTTTGGGATCATCAAAGATCCAGAGGAAATGTCTCTTTGGCTTCAGTATTGCTTTCCTCAAGCTGTTGTTTACAAAACCTGCATACCTGTACTATATGCAAAAAAATTTCTGGGGATGCCTTACATTTCAGCTCATGCTTCTTAAAGAAGGTGTGGTATATCCAAGTTACTTACTGAGCTTTCTTCACCCAAATTTTCCCCTTGTTGGTTAATATTTTTACTTATCAAAGCCAAAAGATTACATATATGTATATTTTTAAAATATAGAGAGAATCTAAGTTGGTAGGTTCACTCTTAAATATTTAACTCTAAAAAGGAAATCTTTTATATGTATGCATATAGCACACTCGGGATGTGCAACTGTATGGAAGTGTGCGCGCACTTGTGGAGTCTAGTTCATTATTTTGCTTTCTGCTTAACCTTCATAGTTAGTGTTGTGGTAGGCATGGAGTTTTCTGAGTCGACGTCATCAACTGGTTTAGTTTTAGGGAAGGTTTTATTCAAAGGTAAAATACACAGAAGAGAGGGTATGTTAATTTACGTATGGTCCCAAATTCACTACATGTAGTTGCTGTTTGTGCAGGCTGATAAAATTGCAAATAACATTCAAGATGTTTTCACTTTCAGAGAGGTTCTTGTTTTGTTTTGCTTTTCATTTAAGTTTGCTTTATTTTATGCTTGTAAAATGCTGTACAAGAGAGGTATAACAGATATTTTTTAAGACTATTTTCATTTCAACTAATATAATATTTTAGTTCTGAGGGGAATTTAAAGCACTCATTATAAATTTATATTTTGCTCTATTTTAGAATCTATTTGAATGAAGTTACAGTTTTAAATTCTGCTAGTTAACAAAAAATGAAATTTCAAAAACAGGTCTAAATATAATTTCATAAAATGTAGATGTTTAAATGTTAAGCATTAGTTACTAGTGATGGGAGGTAGGAAAATTTATTAGTTGTTATCACCTGTACTTTCGTTATTTCTTTCATTTATTTTGATCCAGAAGATTTAGTATACCTGTGGAAATGCATGCATTCTCTTTCCTAATGTAGGGGGGAAGATGGGGATTATTTCATTTTTGCTATACTAGTTAACTGCAGAAAGGCCTTAGGTTAACTGTAAAGTTAACTTTCTAGAAGTTATATCTAACACTGATGCCTTAAATGTTGGGAGTATCCTAACTGGTTCAACATCCCTACATTGAGTTTTAAACTTGTAATGGATGTCAGAGGTTTATGTAAATCAAATCTGTTTAAAAAATCCACTCATTGCCTTGTGAATCTCAATAGAACAATTATGAATATGTACACATTTGTAAATGAGCATATAGCAGTGGCCTTCCCAGTAGTTAGTTTCCATACAAAACTGAGCTGTTTAGAAGTGTCTTAATTTAAAAGGAAAATAGGTATTAACATTAATTGTTACCTACAAACATTTTAAATAGCATATTTTCAACATGCTGAAGTTGTACATCTGAAACTTGTTTAATCTATGCCTCCTATCCATAAAAATGATGCAAATGTAAATTGGGATTGAAACTGTATATACAAGTAATAGAATTTTTGCTTTCACTTTTTCATCAAATGATATGTGTGCATATTTAGCTTTTTTAGTGTGTGTAATTTGTGGTGTATCTTTGCAAATTTTATAAAAATACCAAAAAACCTGTAATTGTGTTGTGGTTTTTGTGTTAAAAGATCTTTTTTTCTGTGTTTCCTTAAAGCAGTCTTTTCCAGATCACAGTTCACAAACAGACTTCAGATGTGGTTGTGAACTTTTTCTTACATACATGGATGAAAACACATACTATGGAATCCGGCAGTTTTGACTGAATCATTTTTGTGAGAAGTAAACTGATGTCATGAGAGGACAAGTGTAGCTTCATGGAATGTTTGCCTTCCTTGTCTTTGTAGTCATGTGGATTCCACTTTTGATAAATGCTCCATACATGCAAGATCTGAGGGTGTTTTTGAATAGTGGCATCCATGCTTCATAGTAAGTAATATAAAAAGAAGAATGGCAATAACTGCCTTTAAATTACTTCTTTCTTCCTGTGACAGTTAGATGGAACTTCTGCATGGGCTGTACACACTGGGTGCATCTATACTTGCAGTTTATTATGCAGTAGATTACTGCACAGTAAAGCATTATTGTCTACACGTGCACGGCAATTGGGTTGGTGTTTTTACAGCACCATTGGATAGTCCCATCAGACACAGGTACTATTTGAAGATGGATAGTATCTGAATGCACTTAAACGCAAATGTAGACAGTGAAGTTGGGATTAGTTTACTCTGACTTAAATTGTTCCAGAGTTTATTTAGTTGCATTAATTGCACATGTGGACATGCCCACTGTGCTTGTTTTCTCTGGTTAGTAGGTTATAGTGGTATAGTTGATTTTTAGCATAGTTAGGCCATTTAAAAGAGAATGAAAGAAAAGTTATTCAGATCCAGGTAGTGACAGATGCTACTTTCTTCCTTCTCGCATGGCTTTGTGTGGTTGAGATAACCAGGATTTATGTTTTGCTCCTTCTGTACCAGGTAGCTGTTGTTATGGATGGACACTTGGGGCATGTCCAGACAAGTGCAGAGGTGCGGTATGTGGTGCCACAGACCTGTCTGCAGCTCCACACACTGAACATGCAGGCATTTCCCATGCTGCTACTTTGCAGCACGGGGGTGCTTTTTGACCCCGGGAGATCCTAGGATAAAAAAAATCCACACCAAAAAAAAAAGTGGGGCAGCACACATTGCGGCAGCGTGTGCCACCCAAAACCAGAGCCTGACCAGCCAGAACCACACTCTGGCTGCCAGCCAGGCTTCCTGCTCCCGCTGTGGCTGCAGCTCCTGGAGGCCCCCAGGACCCTAGGTAAGGTTCCTGGGGCCAGCACAACTGCTGGCCCCAGCCTCTCCTGTTCCACACCCCCCGGGGTAACTTACCATGCAGCAGAACACACATGACACAGGCATTTGCCAAGGACAAGTAGCAGCAGCACAAGGTGTGCCACTGCTTCTTGTCCTCAGGGAAAAACCCGTTCCTGCTTGTCTGGATGCACCCTTGAGGTGCCCTCTTCTGCCTTAGTCGAGTGTTATACTTAGTACTAAGAGAGGAAACAGAAACAAGAAAATTGCTTCTTAAACTCCTTCCTTCTGGAGAAATCCATGAGGACATGACAATTACCAGACTTTCTCTGTGTGCTCTGGTCAGCTGTGGATCCATTCCTAACTCACTTGACCTCAGGGAACTCTTCCTCAGCCATGAGGCCTGAGGTAAATTTGAGTCCTGTTGCTGTCATCAGACTTTCTGAAATGGTGCCACAGTTACGCTTCAAATGTTATTAAAACAAACATTCCTCCCCCACCTCCCTTTTTTCTTTCCTCCTTTTATTTTATCTCTGTCGCTGATACTGTGTGTAAACATGAGCCAGCCAGTTTGTCAGCAGTTAGTACTGCCCCTGGATAGTGTAATGGAATCGGACAAAACATTTGGCACTGATGCTGCTGCTATCTTCAGTATTTTTTGCTGTGCCATCTACTGGTAAAACTCAGTGTTGCTAAGTAAACTGTCCAGTTCTATTAATTTTGTCTCCAAATAAGCACATTTCTATCTCAAACAGCCTACAGAAGGAGCTTACCCTGCTTCTCCAAATAGTCTTTCTTCCTATGCAGCTGCCTTGTAATTGTTTTTGACTTTTTTAAGATGCAATACAAAAATCAGAAAAACATACCAATTTGTACACTATAAGCTATGTCACAAACAATAAGCAATGCAAGGAAAAAGAACAAAAGGAGGGACAGAAGAAGAGAAGGATACAATGAGCAACAATCTAGAGTCCTCCCAAAATGTTGCACTAAACATGAAGGAATTAATCCTGTTAACCTTGACTCTCTCCGTAGATGCTAGCCGTGCCGTCTCCAACTGTACCACATTTGAGCCTTTGGAGATATCGCTACACTGAAAAGTAGGACACAATCTTGCATGTTACTAATAAGGCCTGCTATAGGTATGCAATTTTATAAGGATTCAATCTTAATTCCTTGAGGATAGACCCAAGAACATACATATTTGCCAAAGGTATCAAGTGCTGTGTTCAAAACCATGTTAACTTTAGTTATAATTTCTTTCCAGAAGTAATTAAAGGGCATGATCAAAATGTGACCAAGGGTTGCCTGCTATGCATCACATCTCCAACATGTATCTACTGGCAGCATATTTAATTTTTTAAGTTAGGAGGAAGCCTTGTGCAGATGAAAAATTATCTTTGATTAAGTCTAAGGTCAATTGTTAATGTTCAAATGTTGTGAATTGCTGATTTACATTGAGATTGTCATCTAGGCTGCTTTCAAACAAAAAAACCCTCTGCAGTGCTTTAAATTTTGCCCCCGGCACATGCCCAGACGAGGCAGCACATTAGTTGGACCTGGCTCGCCCAACATCTGTATAGATTGGGCGCTTTAGTAGGGCTTTTCTGGTACTTTATCTAATAGCTGATTGAATTGGCTTTGTAGAAAAGCACCAAGCAGCTCCACTGAAGCAACTAATCTATACAGACACAGACGCTGCAGAGCCAGATCGAAGTAACATGCTGCGTCTTTTGGTAAAGTGTGTTTTTTGTGGGGTGGGGTTTGGTTTGTATTTTTTTTAACGTCTGCAAGCAGGCTGGAAACCTAGGCTTCCATTCCATTTAAGTCTTAATTAGTGACTGTCTCTTCTATTTGGATGGTAAAACTAGCACTTCTGGCTTGTTGGTGTCAGCAGCAAGAATAACATGATAGAACTGTAACTTAGCTGTCCTATAGCTGATTAGATCTTATCTACACACAGTAGCAGTAGTTTAACTAAACTGGTGCAATCCTATTTGTGTACATGTAATGGGTGCTGAGGGTTAATTATGTATAACTCTATTACATGCTCCTTTATCTTGTCAGATTTTAGTTTCTTCCATAAATTTTCTGGCTTGAGCCAGATCAGTTAGAATAATCAACAGAGGTTTGGTTATTTTCAACTGCATGTTGTTAGTCTTCGTCTCAAGTAGTAGAGTGCAGAATCTGTTCTGACAGTATTACATTTTAGGAGAGTCATAGCAGGAGTTGGTGCTTTCACTGAATAGTTACTTGTAGAAGGTGGGGATCTACAGTCTGTCATCACAGGTGTAAATAAGTAGCCTCTCTCCAAGATTCATCCATCCTTTATCCTACAGGCTATGGCTACTGTAGTGTTTTACGTTCTTTAGTGGGCTAAGTATCTGACTTTCAATAATCACACATGTAAAGCAATTCTTTTTTACTACATGCTATGGGACATTTAACTTGTGCAATCATTTAAGTTGTTAGGATAGAGTTAGGTTGCAACTATCTTTTCAGCTCAGTTACACAGCTTTAATCAGTTGTCCATGTGAGAATACAAATAATACAACCAGTCAAGAAGAAGAGAGAGAGAGGGAAGTCTGCTACTCATGCTGACTGGTGGTTAAATGTACCATAGCCACTTAAAAGTTGGCATCTTACAAGCAAGAGCATATCGAGATAATTAGGCTAAAACTGGAAATTAAATTTTACTTTCTTCTCTCATCGAGAGGATGAATGTGGATAGTCATTAGCAGAAGCCCAGGAGAGTCTATCTTGAAGGAAGTTGATTGGCTTGATGTGCATTTGACCCTCAACTTAAATATAGGACAATTGGAGGCTTTTCTTCTTTCCTCCTGCACCCAACACATCTCTCTCTACAGTTCTAGATCCACTATCCTTCACTATATCCACTATACTTCAAGGTTCAGTGTTTTGTCTTACCTGTGCTCTAACATTTGTTTAACATCTCTCCCACTTAGAGAGTTGGTGCGATTAAAAAATGATGCAAACAACCCTTGTTTCATATATATTCTGGATGGTCACTGCTCCAGCAACCTTACTGAAAAATGTTTTAACTTTTATATCTTACAACAAATTAGGACTTAGTCTTCCATTCTTTGGTAAGGGGGAAAAGAGCTGAAGCCTAGGCAACTTATGTTGGCTGGAGTCTTGATGCATTTTCAGGAAATTATCAAATTTATAATCTGAAATAAATTCATAATTATAATTTATCATCTGAAATCCTATAAACATGTTTAGTAGAGAGTTTTGGTTGCAATTCATACTATTAAGTGTTTAGGATGTAATGATCAAAGCTTTTGGAGAGGGGATAGAAGAAAGGGTAGAACAATGACGGCAGCTGTTGTCCTTCTAGAACTATAAAATAATTATTTTAATTATGGGGAAAATAGTGGCAAAGAAAAGGCTGCTGAAAACTGTTTTTTATGTTAGTCAAGTTCTTATAAATCCTAGTATTTGAATACCTTGAAGCATGCGATAATTGTTACTGTACCTGCCAAATGTGTTTCCATCCTCTTGGGGAAGAATGTGGTTATAAGAAGGTTTTTTTTATGTTTTGTTTTCTGTTTTGCTTGGCTGGGGAGGGAGGTAGGCAAGAGTGTTGTTTTTTTCTTTTCATAACACATTAGTATGTGTTGGGGAAAAAGCAAAGAAATTTGCGCTATAGTGCTGAGATTGATGTTGGGCCTTAGTCCCTGGGAGCATTTGTTAGGCAGTTTTAGGTCAGCACTGGGAGCTGTCTTCATTGCAGCATCCCTTATGCCCAAGGAGCATAGTTGGACTACGGTGATCATCC